AAAAAAAAAAAAAAAAAAAAAAAAAAAAAAAAAAAAAAAAAAAAAAAGAATCAAGTCAAAAAGTCGTGTTGAAATAAATATAATAAAAATTAATATCTCATCTACAATAACGACGATGAAAAACAAAAAATTTCGTGGATCGTTAAAACCACCGGTCAATTTTCCCCCCCAAAAAATCGGTAAACAACCGCAACCGATTCCAATAACCGTTTTTCCTCGCAGGTCCTAGAGGACGAGCGATTACGGGACGCGATTCGCGAGACAGCCCGGGAAACGAGCCTCAGCGATGGTATCCCGGAAAGCGATGCCCTTGTCAGGGCGGAGGCACGAGCCAAGTCGATCCTCGAGCGCATGCACAGCCGCATCAGCGACACGCTCCTCCGAGTCGTCGCCTGGATGCTCTACAAGCTCCTGCCCTGCTTCATCCAATCCGCGGCCATTCATACCCGGCACATCGGCATGCTAAAGGAGGCCAACGAGGCCAACGTGCCCCTCATCTTCATGCCCCTCCACAGGAGCCACCTCGATTACGTAATGATAAGCTTCCTGACCCTCACCAACAACATGAGGTGTCCGCTCGTCGCTGCAGGGGATAATCTGAAAATGCCCTTCTTTGGGTGAGTTTTTTCTTTCTTATTCATCCTGAAACTTGACTATAACTGGTGGTCAAATCTACCCTCAGCTGGCTGATGAGCGGTCTGGGGGCGTTTTTCATCAAGCGGCGCATGGACCCGGTCGCCGGTCGTCGGGACCTCCTTTACCGGGCCACCCTGCACACGTACATCATGGAGAGCCTGCGGGCGGGCCACAACCTCGAATTCTTCGTCGAGGGTGGGCGTACGCGCACGGGTAAGGTTTGCCTGCCCAAGGGTGGGATACTCAGCGTCGTCGTGGATGCCTTTATGGACGGGACGATCGAGGACGCCCTCCTCGTGCCGATTTCTATGAACTACGAGAGACTCGTCGATGGTAACTTTGTCAGGGAGCAGATGGGCCAGTCCAAGCAGATGGAGACCTTTGCCGGGACAATCAGGGCCTTTTGGGACGTGCTCAGAGGTAACTACGGGATCGTGAAGCTGGGCGTGTGTCAGCCGTTCTCGCTCAAGGTGAGTCGAATGATTTTTTTCCTACAAGTGGCGTACCTACATATTTAACTTGAAGCCCAAAACAGAGCGATACACATTATTATTGAGTGATGAAAGTGTGTGTGTATATGTGAAAATTTATTTTTTAAAGAAGCACGTGTTTGCATTTTGGTGCGGTTAACAATAACTTGATGAATTTAATACAAAAATGAGTATGGAAAAATGTTTCAACGATAAAAAGTTTCCTCGGCAAATACGCTCTCATCGCGAAAAAATTGCTAACATATTCGAAGAACTGTTACTTATTAAAATAATGTTGAAAAATTCAAGGTATTCTTTAGTTCCTCGTAGACTCTGTAAGAAAATCGGTATTTGTAGGAAATTTTGGTATTTTTCAAAAGGATATAACGTTATACTAGAGCGCCTTATCGCGTGCAGATCGGCAAAAGACGCAGCTTTTGCATAGAGATCGGTTTTTTTGCAAACTGCGAAAAGATTACGAAAAAATTGGCAGCGGTGGGATTCGAACCCACGCCTCCGAAGAGACTGGTGCCTTAAACCAGCGCCTTAGACCGCTCGGCCACGCTACCGATGAGTCTGAAGCGAAAAATGTGCCGAGTCCAAAACTCACGCACCACATCGGAATCTTTTGCTCCCAGTGGCTCAAATTTTTTTCTTTTATCTGTGGTAGTTCACGGCCGATACAATTACTATAAAATTTGAATTTAATTAAATCCTATTTGGTTCACACTAATTACAGCTGTGCTTTTTTCATTTTTTTTTTTTTTTTTTCACATTTCCAGGAAATGTTAAAGTACTTCCAAACTCAACAAAACAGGCTAGCTGCGTCTGAAACTCCAGAAAAATTACTTAGAGTCACCATGTCAACGTCCTCTCTGTACGGAACGGACGTCGTCGTGGAGGAACACCGTCAACTGGTCGATAAAATAGCTCGCCACGTTGTTTATGGTAACGATACGAATGATCTTTTTTTAACCCAACACGGTCGATTTATAGATGAAACATCTTATACAGTTACCTGAGAATCTAGCGAATTATAATCAAAAAATGAGGAAACACTCGTGTATGCTTTCAGATGCCTCCAAGTCGACACCAATAATGTCAACCAACGTCGTGGCCTTCATACTACTTAACAAATTCCGAGAGGGGTGCAGTCTAGATCAGCTCGTGGAGGCATTCGACGCCTTGAGAAAAGAACTCGAGCACGCAAATCGCGACATTGCCTTCAGCGGCGACAACATCGACATCATCAATCACGCGGTAAACACCAATATACCACTATTGAACGGCATGTTTATCAATAATGTCTATAAAATTGATCGATCTGCAGCTGGAAATACTTGGACCAGGTCTGGTTAAAGTCCAGCGTCAAGACATCAGCGACGTAGTGGACGGTCAGCCGACCAGGTATCAAACAGTCATGGCTATCCAGCCGGTCTCGATGCTGCCCAACGTGATAGAGCTGTCCTACTACAGTAACACCCTACTGATGCATTACGTGATTGAGAGCGTTGTCGTGACGGCCCTACATGCCACGATAAAACCTCAGATTAATAATCCCGTGGTGTCGGATGACGAGGTCATAATAATCCAGCATACCGAGCTCGTCGAGCACGCCATCACCATTTGCGACATACTCAAGTACGAGTTCATATTCTGCAAGCCCTGTCAGCAGCTCGAGCAAGTTATCCTTCATGCGATCGATAACATCATGAACGCCGGAATTATGTGTAGGAATGAGGTAATGCCATTTCGATGTCTCTTTTGGAGGTGTATGTGCATGTGTTGGATAATTTTTAATCGAAATTTTCGTTCTGTAGGAGGGCCTTCTCGATGACGAGCTCTGGGGCCGAAGGTACGCGAAGAACTTCGATGACGACTCGGATGAGGAGGAGAAGGCTAATTACGCTATCAAAAAATTGACTTACAAAGTAAGTTGTGGCTTCGGTCATTGTTTGAGCGTTGTTTGTAAACAATAATCATCGTTTCGTTTCTATAGCTCATTTTGAAAGAGGAAGCCTCGAAGCGAATGGAATTCCTTCACACGATGCTGCGACCACTCGTTGATACGTACACTTACAGCGCGTACTGTTTAAGGAAATTAGTTGGGCGATCGCTTTCAGAGAGGGATCTCGTTCAGGATATTCTTAACGAAATTAAAACGAACTTTGAACGAGGAATCATCAATTACGGTTGGGCTCATTCATTTTCTTCATTCCTTTGGTATATCTGCTTGCGAATTATTGAGATGGGGATTTTTTTTTCAGGAGAAAGCTCGTGCGTGGACCCAATCAAAAATTCGTTGAAGCTCTTTGAAAAGAAGAACATCCTGGAGTGTCATCCCCAAGAGAACATTAAAATTTATTACTTGAAGGAAGAATACGATGACGATGAAGCTGTCTGTTTGATCTACGAAACATTTGCAGCTTACAGGTGGACGAGAAATACTGACTGAAGAAATTAGCAGCTAGATTGATCACTTTCACTGTTTCCTTTTGGTTCCTAGATTCTTTATAAAAACAAAAAAAAAAAGAAAAATAAATGAGCAAATGTGGGATATAGGATTTATATACAACTATTGCTTAGACATAAGTCTGTTTCGAATCTCTGTCTTGAAAGCTCGTGTATCAACGATTGATTGTGTATAGCTAACGTATAGTTATAAGCCCAAAGCGAATATGTATTATTTATATTTAAAAAGTTAAGATGATGAAACCAATGGTAAAATATAGTATCTATTTTTATGTGAATAGTCGAGTGAATTGTGGAATTGTGCGTCGCGTAATTAAATTAAATACTCTGTTATTTTTTTTTTTTTTTTGCTAAAGGATTTAGAATCACGCGGTTTTTACGAAAAGTATCGTTAGAGTTTTTGTTTGTATTACGTAAACTGCACAAAGATTTAGTGTTAGTTGTTGGATACAGACGATACAGAAGTGATTATTGATATTGGGTAACACTTTCTCATCGCCATACAATTATGTTTTTCAATGAAGAGCGAGTCCGTCGTGAACGTGATCTCGCTCTCTAAGTTCGTCCTCGTCCGCAGCAAAGACTTAAGCTGGTCACCGGCCTGCTGTAGATCACACGACACACCATTGGCTTTTAAATACTTCAAGTTTCTTTCAATCTCAAATATTTCGTTTTTTATCTGTGTTTGTAAAAAAAAATTACAAAGGATGATGGAAAATCGTAATAAAAATCGAAATGAATCATTTTGTTTATAAGATGAAAGTTGCTTTTTTTCTTATCGAACATACCTTGTCCAAACAGCTCGTGTACTCGTTTCTCGCCTTTTTAACATCCTTGTACCTAATGTCGAACGAATCGTTCGTCTCCGTCCAACTCTTCAAAACGTTTCCAGTAACTTCCTTAACTTCTGCTCTTATTTGCTTTTGAAAATGTTGCAAGTTACTTATCACTTCATCTGATCTTTTCAACAAGCGTTCCGTTTGCTCCTTCATCGGCTTGGACTCAGATAATCTAAATGCGTGTACACGTTCATAACAGCGTATGAAGCAACCAATCATAAAATCAAGTGATTTGCGCTCAAGTATGAAAATCTCCTAACGCACAATCTGCGTATACTATTTTTAACACTTAAATATGTAAATGTTTTACCTTTGAGTGCTCTTAGTTGTACATTAGAGTATAAATATTCTATGAACGAAATGAGAACTTGAAGTTTAACTTCAACCACGGGAAGTCAACATTTTTTAAAACTAACTCGTGCGAAGTAAAGATATATATATATATGTATATAAATAAATGTATCGGAATGCAATTACTTAAATATCTCATCCTCCGACTTGTCAATGCAAACAATCCACTGTATCGTCCGGATAAAATTTTCCAACTCATTTTGTACGCTCCGCCCTTGAAGCAGCTTTAACAATTTTAATATTATCACTTCATGATAGCGCTATTCCCCCTTTTAAATACGTACCTGAGGCTCACACCGTTCCAAGCACTTTTCAAACTCCTTGATGCTTTGACGGAAAAGTTCCGCCTCCTTTATCAGTGCCTTTTCCACGCTGTCGTTCACAAGTTGGCTTCCTGACGCAAATAAAATTACAGGTACTTTTCATTGAGCAATCAACATTGTATTCCAATTGGAAAATAAAACCAACTGTTCCTCGACTCGCGATAGCCCAGGCACTCTTGGGAGATCTGAAGTGGAGCTTCGGTGTTCTGAGCACATAGCTGCAGTACTCTTTTGCACTCCTGAACTCCTTCGTTTTCGCATATTATTTTTTCCAGTCTCGAGGACAGCTCGCGTATGTTTTCCTGGCAAATTTTCACGGCCTTGGCGATTGTTTTGTTGCTACTTGAGTTCTGCAGTGCTTTCAGTTTTTCCTTTTCTTGCCTGCGAACGAAATATATTTACACGAGTCAAACTTCAGCTCGATGTAGGAAAACGCCATCATTGTGAATATATCGTTTGTTGTGTACGATATTTTTAAAGTTTAGATGTTGAAAGATTTTTTCAACTTCGAGTGCTCTTTACAGTTCATCAGTGTACAAACACCCGTACGTGAGTAATCACTTGAAGTTGAACTTCACACACTGAGTTACAACTATTATTTTGCACAGAGCCAAAACCTTTTTTTTTATCACCTCATGGATTAAAATAGGTATTCTAACATAAACGCCTTACTTGACCAGATTGTCCAAGTTTTCCTTGATTGGTTTTGAATCGTCCAAACTCGTGGCGACTTCATGCAGTAGGCTTTTCTGATTCTCGTACCATTTGCAACACTCGTATCTCGTCGAAAGAGCGGCCCTAGCCACATGAAGCGGATTTCGATTGTAACCGGTCACCAAGTTTGGAAATTTCAGAGGTGTCGTGATAATCCCATCGGGGACGTAGCAAGGAGCCACGCGCTGATCGGTAATCGGATAAGGAGGTCTGGGAAGCGAATATTTTTAAAACTTTTTTGAAAGGGAACCATTTTGTAACAAATTAGAGCTTTGTTTCTTACACCAGGTACGCGTCGATGCTTTCGTATCCAGTCGTAGGTTTCCACGGGTAATTTTTGGGGGTGTACGGGACCATTTTTCACGTGTGTCTTTATTCACGTGTTTGTGATTGATTTATTGTAATTAATTCATGGTTATGTTTTTTACTTTACGCCGTATCACCGCATGGAAATTGATGTTTTTGAAGTTTGAACAACCCGAACATTTTAAACTCTATTGTTATTTACATAGGAACTCGATCGATTTTGACGATAAAGTTGCAAACCTTACGAACTATTGTTTATGCATTTATTAAACGCGTTTTTAAAATACAACTTTGAGAAAAAAAATTAGCTCAGACCTTTTTGTTTTCATAAGAAATTGTGAAATAGCTGGAAAAAATTTTATTCGTTGGATAACACATGGATGTCATAAAAATGAATAAAAACGTGGTTACAGTCACAGGTAGGCAATGTATAAGAAAACAAAATATTCCTAAAACCTTTATTTACATTTTAATAAAATAAATTTAATGATTTGAAATAAAATGCTCCATAAAAAATCAAAATATTTAAAAGTAATACATAATTAATTATCACATAAGAAATAAATACCCTATTGATTATTGTTTTTGAAATGTAAGTTTAATCAGAATATTTCAACAAATTTTTCATTTCGAATAAAACCTTTCAAATATTATTTAAAAATTAAAAATACATTACTACCTTTTTTCAATACAGCATCTTAATTATTTTACTTTGAACACCCATGATAAATTATATAGTATGAAAAAAAGCTTTTATTACAAAATTGAAAATCAAAATGTAAAAAGTTTTATTTCAAAAAAATAATTTAAATAGTAACTCATATGGCCTTGTTTAAATAATTTAGGTATTAAAAATCTTTTGGGTTACATTGGAAAAGAGAGAAAATAGACCCACATACCCTTAAAAGTTCACTTGATTATAATAAAATATTAATTTCCGAGTAAAGGTGATTAGCAAATGAAAATTTTTTGTAAGTCATATTGTTTTATTTTAACACATCTTACTCCTTTCTTGAAAAATATTATGTAGAAAAATTAGTCGCTGAGCAATTTATACGGTTGAAAAAATTTAAACAAAATTTTTATTCTCTTGCAATAAACATGTTTTTTATCTTATATTTTGTTGAATGTAAAAAATATAATAAATTGTATAAAGTTTTCTTGGCCACTTCTATGAGATTTTAGTGTCCTACAACGTTAGGATCAATAAAATTATATTAAATATTTTATACAAAAAAAATTAATTATCTTTTCATATATGTATGCATAAATGGGCATGAAATTCCTAGTGTAAGGAGGTAGCTTCCTCCTGCGATTTTCCACTTCATGATTTCTACATATTGCAACGGATTGAATTTTCTACACTAATTCTAACTCTAATAAATCATCGAGATTTATATGCCATATGTATGTCTATTTTCATATGATTTGTGGTGTTGTGGAGTAGGAATTTTTTTCATAAAAAAAAAAGAAAAAAAAAAAATTCCATCGCAGTAAAAAGCGTTACCATACTATATACTACTTTTTCCGCCTGTGGCATAGAAATAGCTGAAGATTTTGTGAAATTGAATAAGTTATAAGCACGTATGACATTATCGAAAACCGTATGCTCAATGAAGGTTGTAATGCCATATCGCCCATATCCAATCTTTCTTTCAATATTATGTTTATCTAGTATAGATAAAAATTTGAAGAGTATCACGAGCAATTTATTACTAATAAATATGTACTAATTAAACTTTATACACAGTTCATCTAGTTTGAGGTATTCTATTTTTGCTTTTGATGAAAATTTTTTTTTTTTATAATCACAAACGACTACTGATCATGTATTCTTGCAATAAACGTAATGTATATATATATTATTTAATAACGTTCAAAAAATTTTGAGTGTTAAAGAATTACAGCAAAATTTAAAAATTGAATAGACTTGGTGTACCTCCATCGATTACAAGTATTGTTGATAAATAGTTATATTTTGTTTCACATTAAAAATAGACGCAAGTATGGTACATAAAGTCATAAAGATTTTTTTTGTTGATTTTACTTCAATCACAATGATTAATATTTGGGATAAATAGTTTTATCTTTACCTTTCTAATCTTGTACTCCAAACAAATTTGGTTGTACAAGCAGGCATTTCGTAACGTAACCCAAAACATATACCTCGAAGATTAACTAAAGTGTTGGAATAAGTAGATATCTTGTTCAAATATATGGAAATGTGGCTTGTACATTCGATTTTTTTCTACAGTTGAAAACGTGAGTAGAAAATGCGTTAGGGTTCAGCTTTGACATCTAAACGTACGGAATGTGGCTTGTACATCGCGGAAGAGTCCAGGCAATACACTGCATATTACTATTCTGGTGAGAGTTCACTTAGAATTTCTCTTACTTCATTCAAGATTTTTCCTTGCACCACAAATAAAACTTTGGGCCGACAGGAAAAGTTTTTATAAATAATTTCGTTTAAGAATTTTACATAATATTGGTTCTTAAAGATGTTACGGAAATTTTGTTAAAACTTTGAAAAGTAAATTGATTGTTTTTGAGGTTCTTTTCATGAGGGTAGGTATATTACTTTTTAGTATAATCGTGAGTTAATCGTTTTACTACGCATAGACATCACTCCAAACTTTGATGATCTATTAAAAAACAAAGAAATACGTGCCTCATGTTTTTCGATAACCAACCTGACCGACCTAATGGAAATAAAAAAAATTTTTTTTCACTTCTCTATTTTATAATATAAATNTCTATTTTATAATATAAATAATATTTGTTTTATTTTTATGAAATAAATTTTTTAAATTTATTTATAACTCAAATCTAATTAAAAATTTAGGCTATAAGAATTTCATGTTTTAATATATGTAACTTAAAAGTATCTTGTGGTAATGAGACGTTTTGTAAATATTAAAAAAAATACGTTGTCATCAATTTTAAAATCATTAATTTCAAATAATTAACATCTGCTAACATATTTTCGGAGATATAAAACGTCGTTAGTTATATCTCTCTTAGTTCAAGCGAAGAAATTTCTAGAAAATCCAATAAAATTGTACAAAAACATCTTTACTTCATAAAAAAAAATCACGTTACATATGTTTTTCCACCGCAGTTAATCGTTACAATTAAAAATTAAATAATCATAAGACAAGTTGAGGTAGTACCATCGTATATATAGATTTACCTAAAAGATTTTTATAAAAATTGTCCCTCAGGTTAATTCAAGTACACAAATACTCAAACTGTAAAGTTTCAAGGACCTTTGGATACCTTGGGGACGAGAAATGATGAAAAAAAAAAATTTTTAATTTCAATATAATGTAGAAATCGTCGAAATTTAGATTTAATTAAAAATTGACCTACAAGTTTTTAGTGACAACACGGCCAATGATGAAAGAGACGCTTAGGAATATGTACGTAAAATATTTTATTCAATCGGGTAGCTGTTGAAAAGTTATTTATTAATGTTCACAACAATCCATGTTATATCTATACGTAGGAGATTTATAACGTTAAACTCGGTTCTCTCTCCCGCACCTCCCACTCACACGACAGTACTTATACCTCAAGAGTGGAGGCACAGTACAGATTAAAAGCTGGTCGCACAGTACATCTACGTTCCACCTTATCCCCCCACTTCATTTCGAATACTCGCATGTATATATAAATGGAGCTTATCAAAGTGAAATTTTCGTCTATGCGTCGGATCTAGTTTGCCTCTCATTTCATTGTCATCTATCACGAAAATCCAGCAAAATGAAAGTTGCTCTTGTACTTTGTCTTTTGAGCTTGTTTTTTGCGCTAGTAGCGTCAAGCAACTCGGACGAGTCATCCCAGAATTTACAGTTCAAACGATTTTGTACAGTCGTTGACCCGGATGCGCTTGAAGAAGAAGTAGCCCGTCGAGCTAGTAAAATTTCGCGCAGTCCCACTGAACAAGAAGTAAGTTATGCACTGACCGTAAATAATATTATAAAAGATAAAATCTTTTTTCACACCCGATAATATTTTGTGCTCAGCATTAACTTGTTTTTGGATAATACTTTGTGCACAATAATTTGTGTGTGTAATGTTAATGTGCAGAATCTTTACGTACACTAGTTCTAAGATAATTGTACAAACAAGTAAATAGAAGCAAAGCCACGTTGATGAGCGCTTATATTACTGGAATATTTTTTGCATTTTTGTTTCATTAGGTAACGGTATTGTACAATTACGTGAGACATAAATCCCAATGGGCTGCTGCCAATTGCCAAGTATGGAAGTACACCGATGACTAACCTAGTAAAATTACTCTTGGCAGGAACAATCCACGAAACAACTACAGATGTAAGTTTGTATTTATTTTTTTTACTTATTATATGCGAAAAAATTTATTTTATAAATTATATTCAGGAAAACGTTAGACCATTTTTTTTGTTTTTCTTTGCGTTTGAATAATCAACCACTTTATTGTTGTACTTACTAATAAAAAACGTGAAAATATATAAATGCAGATGTCGAAGAGAATTCGAAGCTCCGTCGTCAGATAGAGCAGCTGTACCAGTGATAATACAAATGACATTTTTTATCTGTACTAACACTTACATATATAATTCCGAGATATGCGCGCCCACGTAAACGTGTATATTCTGTACATAGGCGATTTCTATTTATAAATATATTAGTACACGTTAAAGACGTCATTATCTCTTAGGAACAGCAGCGTCACCACTTTTACGATATTCCCTCTTTCGCTGTGCGCTGTGAATTCAACCAACACGATTGAGTATAGGTGTGTAGGTATCGATAAAAAATGTTTGGACAAAAAATTTTATCGTAAATTCCGATATGGCATTAAGTAGAAAACTTTGGGGAGGTAAGAGTTCGTATTTTAGATTTTTCCGTCGTCTCTATATACACGAAGCTAATAGCCTGAGAGAATAAACGGTAAAAATTCAGGTATGCGCTAAGGCAAGTTAAACGACGTATCTTACGAAAACTATCACATAAAGTAAAGTAACGATTTATTTAAGCATTGTAATGCTCTGGCATCTGATGGTCTTCGTGCGTGACGTCGATTAACGTGGACTTCTCGGATTAAAAATAAAAAGATACGGCATAAGTTGAGGTTGAATGAAAAGGGAAAAAGATGAAACAACATGGTGTAAAATTAATTGCATTGAAACATCAGCTTTACTCTGCCCTTCCACCTTAAAAACTTGCCCGCACTTATCAAATCGTAATTGGTATTTTCGACTTTTACTTGATATTTTTGAAATTTTACTTTTGACTTGATTTTTCTCATTGTTGATTTCACAAGTAGTACGATAAGTTATAAAATTAAAGGTGTTGCAAAATAGTTTGTAAAATTTATAAATAGTAAGCCAGTTGATCAGTACCTAATGGTAACAGTTAGTGTGAATAAATTTTTTTCGCATAAGTTTAAATATGAGTACACCGAATTTTCACCATGAGGTGTAACACACAATAACTATATTTTTTTACTTACAGACGAATCAAAGGTTTTGCTGACTTCCTGATTTCTTCCAATTAGAGCATATAAATGAAGAAGTGTTTTTAAAAAATTTTTTAAATGAGAATTATGTAAAGTAAAAAATTTCTTGGTGTTGGTATTTTCAATAAATATTTTTTTAAACAAAATTTAATCAAAATTTAATATTATAAATTATTTAAAATATCATAAGTTATTGAATGAATCCTACATTTTCATTGACTATCCACAACTTCCTCTGCATTAACTTCTACTCCACATTTTTCTTGGACACAAAACCTATTTTGTATACTTAGCTTTAAAAGTACTCTGGAGACAATGTAAGCTCCTTATACCTTATTGATAAGGTCGTTTGTTTTTATAGCCTACACCATCATTAAATACTATCTAGCTAATTTATCAAAAAAATGAGGTGCCATGTATTTTTAATGTTTTAAAATATAAATAAAGTGTAAACTTGGATCTGAAAGCTGGTCCACCCGAACTCGAAAAAAAATGTAAGTCTTAAAAAAATATTATTTTTAATATTTTTGCTTTGAAAGAAAAATTATGAATTAACCATCAGAACCACTTTACAGTGCACAAATAAATAATACTAGCCAAAAATAGTGAACGGCACTGATACATTTTTCTGGTATCGATTGGAACATTTTAAAATAACCCTTCAAAAAATTAGTAACATCATTACTATTACAAACGTATTGCATACATTTTTCTCTTGTGCGTATCGAAGCCTTATAAAAAAATTTAGTTTTTGGCAAAAAGTGTTTCACACTTATTTAGTATTCAGGGTTTAGTTAAAAATCAAAAATAAAAGAAAAAAGTAAATAAATCTTAATAATTTAATTTTTTACAGAAAAAAAATACAAGTGATTCATAAAATATTTCATAATTCTGTGACCATATTAGAGTACAGCTTAGGAAAATTTTCGTCAGCAACCAAACATCTGAGTATGTTGCTTCCTGTTTCGCAAAAATCCTTTCCAACTGTATTAGATAAAAAAAAATTATCGAAAAATCGTACCAGCATACTTAAAATAATTGTCAAAATTGAACAAATTAAAAAAAAATTTACTTTTATATACTCACACAATCCATCGCATTTTTCCATTACTTGGATAATCTCTTCTACATCAACCCCTTCTTCTTTAGCACTTTGACGCGCATGACTTATATCTATGATTCCTTCTCCCTTAAACTATTAATAATTTTCACTGTAGCTTTGAAAAACAATTGAAAAATTAATTCATATTTTTGTGATAAACTTATTTTGACCAGACTATCTACTAAATAAGCAGAAAAGCAATTAGTTCTGTGACTGTGCTCAATGGTTTTATTTTTAATTATTCGGTCTGCTATACCTGCACAGTATGATTAAAATTAAGCTGACTTAAAAAAAAAAAATAAATAAATAAAACATTTACAAAGCAATTATGACCACAAAACTATATCCACAATTACCCCTGTCAATGCCAGTATCGCTGATACAAAAGTTTTTAAAACCTTCAATAACTTTTAACCACTCGTCAGATATGACAAACTAAAAAAAGTAATTGTTTTTGGTTTACTTTTTTTGTATTATACATATGTGTATATATATATATATATTTTTTTTTTTTCATGTTTTATGAAAATCTTTACTGCTTTGACATGACTAAAAAAAATAAGTAGAAAAAACGACGTTATTTTCATTTTGTAGAATTTATTTAGCTACGACGAGAAGTAGCTTACAAACACTGGAAGCAACTGGGCTGTAGTATTCTTTTTATAATCCTTTAAAATTTTTTTATTTTTCTTACTATACGTACTGACCTAGTACAACACATTGATTACAAAACAAATGATTGTTTTCCAATTGCATATAAATAGCATGTGAGATAAAATTACAGAGATATGCAAATAAGCTTGCTTTAAATTTATTACAATTTTTTATTCCTACTGCTGTGAATGTGTTGCAACTTACCCATGTCGAAAGACATGTCGAGTGATAAAAAATAAGTTAAAAATTTTTTTTTATTTTTCTTCGTTTGATATAAAAATTATACATCCGTACAATCAAAACTTTTTATTATCGCACCAAATTATAGTTTCTTGATTGTCCAGTAGGCACTTTATAATTTTCGCTGCTGTCGTCGATTGGTTGTTTCCTCCTTAAAAAAAAAATTCCAAAACTTACACCGAACTTTCTGAACTGTCGTATATAAACAACAAAAAATTTACTCACGCGAGTTTCTGCATCTCTCAAGAGCTTTTATAATAAATGCCAGACCCAAGCTCCGATCGTCTGTCTTTTTGTAAAGGTGTTTGACAATTTTTACTATATCAAAATTCGAGTTTACCTCACCCTCTTTGTTTAGCTGCAACATGTGTGTATTTTTTTGATTTTATACATAGGAATAATTAATTTGGACGGTAAAAAGTTATTTTGGCCGTCGCTTACGATACTAGATTTTTTCAGTAAGCACACTGCATACGGTTCCATGTCGACTTTTACCATTTCGATGCTGTTTTCGTTATCACCTGCAAAGCCTGAAAATTAACATTACGGCATCTTTTATGTATTTATTTTTAATTTTTGAAGAGAAAAAGTTTCGAGTGAAAATCCGCCTACTTGTGTTATTTTTGGATTTAGACAGGCATTCTTCATCCACCAAGTTTATGGCTAAAACTATCGATCGAGTGTTTTGACATGATTCTATTGATTTGGCCTCTTTAATAGGTACTTGACCCTGTTTTATGGGTAATTTATTTTTCGTTATCGGTCAAGTTGCTACAGAGTATTTTGAAATTTAAATTTTAAAAACTTTATACTCCCCTGTTTGTGATTTATTGGGTGGGAATAAAAATGTTTATCAATAAGTATCGTGGTAATGTTTAGCACAGTGTTTTTCTGTCAGCATTTGGACTTTACAACTTTTAAAATCATTGAAATATTTAAAATAATTTTTATTGTAGTTTAATGAGAATTCATACATGTATATTTACAAAGAATTTCATTAATGCATGATCCTACCAGATCTATGTACTTACAGATAATTATTTTATCCCTGTAGCCTGTCATGTCTCTTTGTGAATAGTTCATTACATAACAATTTTATATTTATTGATATAGTCAATTTGATTACTACAAAGTAAAGTTAAAAAATATTTTTTTTATTTTTATTTCTCTATATATAGTAAAGAAACAAACAAAAATTTAAAAAAACTATTTGTTTAATGCATGCCAATAAAGATTGCCATATGATAAAAATTGAATTTTTTAGCGGTACCTATACAGATAGAGATAATATAAATACAATTTGT